AAACCCTGACTAGTTCTATCCTTCTCTAAAGCTTTCTGTGAGATAATTAATTAAATTTATTGGCTGCCTATCTTATAATAGGGTACCTCTGGGAGGCTTTCAGTTATATATACAGCTAAAACATAAAAAGTTAAAATCAGCCATTAAAACCAAGGACACAAGGGGAGCGTGGGGAAGGTGTGGAAGACAGGTGTTATTACTCAACCAACTACCTCCATTGCACTGTTCTGCCTCATCTTTAGGCCTTTACAAAAGGATAGGAAGGTTGGGGCCAACCTCACATTGGGGGACAAGATATTCCAGAGGGCAGGAGCAACAGCAGAGAAGGCCCTCCTCCTGGACCCTGCCAGCCGGAATTGGGCTTAGAGGACCCACAGCATGCATTCTCTATCGGCACGAGTGGTATGGGCCACTCCCAGTGGGATGAGGCAGTCCCTCAAATAGCCTGGTCTTACCTTTTCCTCTATTTCTACATGGTGTGCTGGATGGATTTGGAAAAGGCCATTTCCCCCTGACATCTTTGCAATAACAATAAAGTTTCTCATACATTTTTTTTGCATTTCCTGCAAATCAGAATTCTTTGCTTTTGGGGAGTCCACTTTCAAATAGGAAAACTGGGGGCACCGGTTGGTGTTGCAGTGGGGTAGAGAGTCACAAAAAGGTCCCCCTTTCCAAAACTTTCTACAAAACACAGCATTCCCTACGATGCCAATAACACTGACCACAGCATTCTGACTTGTAGAAAACATTTAAAAAGACCAAAAGCAGCAGGCAGCGGTTCTGCCTTTTCTATGAAGCTTTCAGCAAATGAAACTTTTTCTCCCTCTTCCTTTAGCTTGCAATCACTTCTGATGATGTTAAACTAAGATACCATTTTTTGACCCACTTGATACCACTTGACTTCCCACATGGATTGAGCAGTCAGCATTTGTGTTCTTTAAATGTCATGTTCCATAAGTTTCTGTCATTTAGTACACGATACAATGGCCGAGAAAAATCAAATCAAGGCACTTCAGAACAACGGCGTCATCAGATGAGGATCATCAGGCAAGATACTGATAGAATCTTCTGCCCTCCCACAGAGCATGCATAGCATGGTGTATTCCTGGAAAGAGAGACAAGATATATTTATACTGGATGATGGAAAATAGATGCTTGTTTCATTTGCTGCATAAATATATTAATTTGTGTTAACCAAGGAATCGATGAGATGTAACAATAGTCATGGTTTAAGCAAACCTAGCTTAACAAGTTCAATCTTATAAGTGAATATTTTCATGTTATTAAGGTAGACAGCATGTGCTAAGAACTTCAGGAAGCTTATCCATTCTTTTCTTTAATGAGATGGAATAGTTAGCTTTCCTCAACCTGAGGCTTTACACCATAGCTCTCAGAAATTCCAATAACCACGTTTTAAATTACTAACTACCGTACTTGCCCACACCTTAAAAGATATGGTGGGTATAACATCAGATTGGTATCAAATATAAAAGCTCTTTATCTCCCCCTATTGTTCGCAAGAAACTGCTAAAACTACCACTTTGCAAAAACTGTGCCAAAATCTGATGCCATGATTTTGATTGTGTAAAGTCATTATTTATTTGGAAGCAATATATTAAATATCACTTATTTTCATAAAATAAATCCTGCAACAATACCTTTAACACCATCAAATAGCAACATCTGTCTATCCCAGGTCCTTGGGAAGGACCCGATAGATGGATAAAAATGCCAAATCCAATTTAAACATCTGACTGTGTGAACCATAAATTAAATTGATATATTGCCTACTTCACAGCAATTCTGGATGGGTTAGAAATTATTTAAAACATTAAAAAAGGTAAAGATTGCACAATGAGAAAACTGGATGGGAAGAAAGGAAAACTACTCAAATTAAAAGGAGGCTCAGTCATCCTTATTGAAAAAGTAAGTCTTCAACGCCCTTTGAAATACCAATAGGGTGATGGCTGTTCAGATCTGGGGAGAAACCTCATTCCAGAGGGCAAGCACTGCAGAGAAGGCATGCTTCTGGGATCCTGAGAAGATGACATCCAGACTGAATTGGCTGGGTTGATATGAAGGGAGGCAGAGGGTCCCTCAAGCTACTAAGCCATAAACCATCTAGATCTTGAATTGTACCCAGAAGCAATATGGCAGCAAGTGCAGCTCGTGAAGCAGAGGTATTACATGAAACTGCTGAGTGAGATCCTCAGCCAATTTGGGGTTTGGTATCAAAAGTATGCTGATAACACCCAATTATATTTATCAACCCTAGGCTGAGGCAGTTAAAGTCTAGTCCAAGTGCCTGGGGGATGTTCAGGTCTAGAAGGGGAGGACCTGACTTCAACTCAATTCTATTAAGGCCAAGTGACTCTTGATATTAGGGATTCCTGAGGATTTTCCATGTGTATTCTTGATGGAGTACCACTTCCTCCTTTAAGAATGGTGCACAGTCTGGAACTTCCCTTGGACTCACAGTTCTGGCTTGAAGATCATGTGGCAGCTGTGGCCAAGAGAACCTTTGTACAGCTCTGGTGTACCAGTGGTTTCTCTCTTTGGATGAAATGGTCCTTCAGACAATTATTCACTCCCTACTCATCTCAAGGTTTGACTCCTGCAATGTGTTCTACTTGAGGTTGCCTTTGAAAAACAAGGAACTGGTATGCCCGAGTGTGCCAATATAGCATCACTGCTTCAAGAGCTGCAGTGAATAACAATTCAAGGCATAGGGCTAGGTTATTTGAAGATCAAACATTTTGGAGAGAGAGAGGTTTCCTGAGAATGGGCTCCAGCATGAGTCCAAAAGCTTGGAAGAATAAACCTCTGAGCTCGGTCACTGACTCAGGTTGGATTCTGCAGCATTATCTTGGGACACATATATTTGTCTTCTTTTATGGTCTATTGCATTGTTATCTGCGCAGAATCAGTTTGTATTTAGACAACACTCAAGCTGAATTATTAAATTAATAACAGTTTACATTACTAAACCATCTGGCTGAGTTTGTACAGCATAACTACTAAATAACTACATAGGCTGGATTCACACAACATACCACCAAATGTGGTCCATCCATTCACAACATCATAGAGTATGAAAGCATACTGAATTATATGTTGAAAATTAACAAGCTTCATGATTCTCAAGAAGATAAAAAGTTGAAGTAAATAAAAGGTAAACAAACTCAGTGGTTGATCAATGAAAGGCTCTTATACCTGGTAATCATCCACCACACCAAAAGTGTATTCATGCCTGGCTATCACATGGTGACAATTCTTACATACGTCTGAAAAGAAAACAAAGGGATTTAGGAAAACAAAATAGGCTTGAAACCTATGTTCTAAATTGTAAAAAAAAAATCAAATTGCTTAATACACAGGCACTTATGTAGGAATCGAAGGATAATATCTGCCAAAGCAGTCATACCAAAAAGGTATAGTCTTTGGAAAGCTTAACCTTTCCTCACTCCGCCCCCCCCCCCAATTTCCATTCTTAGCCCTTTATTGATTATTCCTACTATTGTCACTTCTCTAATACATTTGTTGCTACTGCATCAATGGGGAAAAATGAGAGAATTGGCATGTTCTGGCATTGCACATTGGTTCACTAAAAAATAATACAGTAGAAGAAAAAGCAATAAAAGTAATAAAAAGTAATAAAAGTAGAAGAGAAGACATACAGGATTAATAATTCCTGGAAACTGAGCAGAAGTGGAAATATAGAGAAGCAGGAAGGAGTAGCAATACAAGTAGACACTTGTCTGCTCATTAAAACAACATGGTTAGGAGACATTCAGCCCTGGGATGCTATTGCAAAAGAACATTAATCTGTTTAAAATGTGTTTATGGCACTCTTTCAGGGCAACAAGCAATCATTACACAGAAAAATTGATGGTAGCATCTAGCTGATGTTAGCTGATTTCCAAAAGGCAAACAGAATCAAATAAAATTAATATTTTTACTGCGAGACCATTAAGCAATCTGAGGAATGTAGACCAGACTGGGAAACCAGAAGGCGGCAATGTACATTATTTTGTAGTGTTGCCCCCTATCCCCAACTTCTACATGGACATAACCAAATAGTTATCAGAAAAGATCAATTGATCTTTTTGGTCCTATCTTTTGTAATTGCATGCAGTACTACACTGTATTCCCTAAATTCTGCTGAAGAACAGGAAGAATGCATTCATTTATTCCCTTATGCCTCAACTGTTAGCAATCAGGTATTACTGGACATAGCCCAGAATCCTGAAGTGCATTATTTAGGTAACGGCTCTGACCCAGGCTTAACAGAATCCTGAAACAGACTTCTTGTCCTGAAAAAAAACCTTTTTTATTTGATTAATGTGAATTCCTGGCATTCACATCTAGAAAAGTCCCGGCAATAAGCCTTTCAAGGTTTAATTGCAAAAACAGACCTTATCAGTCCTTGCATAGTTGCCAGGCCAAGAGCTTCTAGTCTCAACGCTGTAAAATGAAATACCTAGCAAGGAGTCTCTGTGAAGCACGAACTCAGATAAGCAAATCTTCACAATAATAAGTGAACTAATTGTCTCCTGCAAACACCACTCCCCTTTTGCTCCTATTAATTCCCTATGGGAGTGGCCATTCAATGTCCACTTGTGCCATTACTTCTGAGTTGACCCCTGTGCCTTAGTTGTTCCCTTCTCTTGACAGCTCTGTGCATACGTGCAACTGGAAAAGGCTCCAGCTGTTCTTCTGCCTCACTTATCTCCGACTCCGAGGGCAGCTGATAAATGTCGGACAGCCCTGGCCGCATCTCTGCCTCCGACGCAGAACACCCATCAGAGCCTTTCCCAGACTCCAGGACTGGCCCCAGGTCCTCCCTAACCTCCTCACTGTCCAAGTCTGCTGCCAGCTCTGCTGGCAACTGACGGGCTACAACAATAACTGTGATAACAGTTCATTACCATTTTGTTTTTATAATGGGAATGAAATACATGCATACATGTTTCACATACAGAAGCATGTCTAGACACATTTAACTTTCAACAGTAGATTTCTGGATACAGGTTCTTAATACCCATATAGACAACAGAAGAATCTGGCCATCTTACGATCGTAAGTGATAATTTCCTCTCCATCCTCTTCTTCTCTTGCTTTGTTCACAATCATCACAAAATCCCGTGTTTTGCATTCAATACAACCAACATAGTTCATTAAATAGGATCCATTCTCCAAGCAAGTAGTACCCTAAAAGATTAAAAGGTGGGAGAAATATGTTAACACAGTGATCTCTTTTTAAATTGATTTAAGAGCCAATTTTACAAATTATTTCAGAATTCTACATTCAGAACTTTCCATATTTTTTAAAAAGCAGTCAAGGGAGTAATTATGATTAAACACATAAAAGCTAACTAAGTACTCCATATTGGTTATTTTATTCTACATATGAGTAATTCTGGCAGATTTCCCCCAGACCTAATTTCTATCCATACATACCTTCTTCCCAGATATAATGCATTCAATCCAGCTTTCTAAACAATAATATAGTAATCTGTTAAAATACTTTAAAAAAGGAAAATCTCATTTAACAAGTTATATCAAAAACAACCAATCCATCTAACAACCCACCTGACCCTAGTTTTCAAATACTGTTTCTTCTGTGGTATATTCTTTTCCAATCCAGAGAGAGAAATCACAGTAAACAATGACTACAACAATAATGCCACCAAAGACTTTTCAGATTATAACATATACTCTGCAATCAATCTAACACTTAGAACAATCCTATATTTCAGTGAGGTCATTTTCTTGCATTTTTCAAATTTTCTAATCAGTTGGCACATCTCTGGCTTTAACTACTGATTTTCAATTTATTTCTCAATACAATGTGCAATGGTTCTGTTGGTTGATGTCAAGTCAGTAATTTCAACATTACATTGAAAAATATAGTTAAAATAAAAAAAACACATACGAAACCTAATGTTAAAATATCTATTAAGCAGTTCACTTTTAGAAACTAGAAATAGAAAATATATTTCCCATCACAAATCATTAGCAGAGTTTCTTTAAAACACATAACTTTTACAGTAATTCTACATAACAGTTAAGACACGAGACTAGAAACTGGGACACTGTGAGTTCTAGTTTTGCCTCAGGCACAAAGTCAGTTGGCCTTAGACCAGGGCTCCCTAAAGTTTTTTTGGCAAGATTAACCTCCCTCCCCCACCCAATAGTCACTAAGCAGTCAAAAACTAACTTGAAAGCACATAGATATGGGGGGGGGGGGAAGTCTTCTCAAGAATGGTTTTGTTACTCAGTACATATTAGGAGAGAAACGTTGTCTATTTCTCCATAATTGGTGAACTACAATTCCCAGAATCCCATATAATAAACGATTCAATAGAAATGCTGGAAGCTGTGTAGTATATAACACCGTTGAAAGTGCTGGCAATTAAAGGCCTGCATCCTCTTGGCAGCAAATGAGAGCCCACCACATCTATAACATAGATATATGAGACTCCTTTTAAACCACAACAGATTCAAATGAGGAAAATTTTTTAGCAAAAAAAAAAAAAAAGGATTCTTAACCTTATTTCGCCCTGGGGGAGAATTCCAAAGTGGGGAAAAATCCGGGAATATATTTATTAGTATTGCACTTTGTCCACTCTTTAGTGTCATTTTGGCCGGTCTTTAATAAAGGCATCATAGAACGTGGGAGAAATTAATTCTGCCTGAAGACTGCCTGCTTTGGATCTCATCTACTCCCTGGTGGTGGGGGGGCAAACTTTGTAGGAAGTCAAGGAATAAGGAAGACAGCGACAAAGGGAAGGGAACGTGGCTGCGCCCCCTTCCCGTGCCCTATAAAAAGCCTGTTCCCTCCCCCTCTTACCCGAGGTGGGTACTCCGTCTTCACGCAGCCCCCGCACATGCTGACTTCAAACCTCCTTCCCGAATCTGTGCGTCCCTGTGACGTCACTCTCCGCGCGAGAGAGAAAGAAAGGAAAACAAACGAGATTTCTTCGATTCTGCCCCAAGTGACTCTCCGAATGGAGGCGGGCCGGCTAAGAATGGGAGGAGCCTGCGCCGAGGGCGTGGTTTATCGGACAGAGATTGAATTTGGACTAAGCCGTTTGCGGCTACGTAGAGTTGAATGGAGAAAAAGATCGATATTTTCCCGAGCTTTGTGCGTTGGAGCGGCGTGACTGCAAATGCCCTTGGAAGATTTTTGTTCTCAAGCTTGCAGGGTTCCTACTGTTGATCGAAAGTGGAACATATTTTTAATTTTTTTAATTTCATTCATTCATTAGATTTTTAAATGCTTAGGCACTTTTTTCTCCCGTTAAAAAATGAGATGACTAACGTAGAGATTTATAGCGAAATCCAGGCATCGCTTTTGGTGATGTATTACCGGTACTTAAGTGCATCAGCTTTATATCACCAGAGGCTTCGGGAGGATGTTATGAATCACCAGTGGGAATCATCATCATTATCTATTATGGATAGGAATAAGCACCAAGGTCCGTTTCTCCTCCTTTCAGTAAAATGGGGAAACAAAGGAGCTTAATTCACAGGCTTCTGTAGTTGCATCTCTCTACAATATTGAAACATTTAGACAGAAACTTCAAATTGGAGAGGTAAAATTTATCATAAAAATTATAAGAAAAAGCAATGAACGGGCGGGTCTTTAAAGCCATTCGATCAGTAGTAAATATGAACCTTGAACTTTCCGAGGTGTATTAGCTCGGAAATTCAATCCGACTAAAAAGGGACTGCTTCGTGTGTTTAACATAATCAAGACTTCTCCACTTTCCTTCTGCTGACACTGGGAAGAATAACAGTACTATAGCTGCTCTTGTGTTCTTCCAGAGGTTGAGTCAAGTGATGAAATAGAATAGCCAGTTTGCTGTAGTGAGATATGACTCCTAATCCTGCTGTAGGCACAATGCCAGTTTGATGACCTTGGACCAGTCACTTTCTTTCAATCCTAGGAAGGAGGCCAAGGTAAAGCACTTCTGCAAATCTCCCCAAGGAAATTGCGGGGGCTAGTCCAGCCAGTTACCAGAAGTCAAAATTGACTGGAAGGCATCCCTCATACTCCCAAAGTGCTAAAAACAAACATTTCAAATGTATTAATTTTAGTACCCATGAAATACATGCTTAACAAAATTCACTCATTTATAAAATATTTTGAGATTATATAAAATCTTTCTTCCTGCAAGATTTCTTTTCTCTCTCATTTCCTGTTTTTAATCTGTTCACTACTACTCATTCTTTTTTTCTTTTTTTCATTGCTTTGCATAATGCTTACCCTTTTGGGAAGTTATCACCCAGCCCTCTCCCAGAAAAATGAAATATCCTAGGAAATATTGAAAAGGCAGAATATTTCTCTGGATATGAAAAGAAACATGTTTTAAAAGACAGAATAGTTGCCTGTAGCTTCCTGCCGATCCCCACTGTTAAGAAGTCCAAGCTAGTCCATTTACATAATAAAGACTTATCCACTGCAGCCGCAGAGGGGATGGGATTAAAAGCATGATAATATTGGCCCTTCACTCAACTGACCACATGGCATCTGAGAACTCAACCAAACCTGGATTCAAAACACAGCCTAGAGAGTAGCCCCTGCATGGCCCCATGGGAGTCTGACAACCAATCAGAATACATTTCTTACACAGGAACAGGAAACAGAGTGAACAGATTATAAAAAGCTTCCCTCAGCCCTTCTCTCCTGCTCCACCAACATTGAAGCATGTGATCACCTTTTCTGTTCAGGGCTCAAGCCATGTGGCCCTGTCCACCAATAAACCATCTTTCCAAGCAGCCTCCATGTCTCCAGTGTCTTTTTCCCCACTTGGAGCCGAACCCAGAAGGACATTTCTTTCATCACCCCAAAAGGAAAAAGCATAATGGACAAAGATATATTGTCTGTTAATGAGTTCTGGACAAATGTATTTTGCCCACATATTGTTAACATCTGAATTATTGATATTCATTTGGTTGCATAATTATATTTAAACCTATCTATTTAAATATAATTGTAAATCAAATATATTTATTATATTTATATTTAAATATAATTAAATTTAAATATATAGAGCATATGTACAATGGCAATGTTTATTTAAACAGGACTCCAATTAATAAGGATTATAAGAAAAAAAATCTGAAAACATATCACTTCTTTGACTGTAGGTAAAGTTTAATAATGAAAGAGGTTTAGTTAGCAGCAGCTGCCCACCCATTCCCTCCGCCTCTAGTCTATTGCTTCCTTTAGCTAAAACTTTCTCCTCTTTTATCTCTGTAAGTTTAATTATGGTATTGGAGCTTAGTGGGTGGAGTGGGGAAGCAGAGGGGAAAGAACTGGAACTTTCCATGGGCAAAGCTAGTGGATGGACAATGGCACCTGTACCCCACATGTTAAGAGGTGACTCCAGTATAGTACTATATATAGCCATGATGGCGAACCTGTGGCATGTGTGCTGGAAGTTGCATGCAGAACCATCTCTCCGGGGACGCCAGCCATTGCCTGTTGCTCTTCCGGGTTCCAGTATGCACATGTGCGCCTGCCAGCTGGTTTTTGCATGGATGGGAGCACCGGAAACCGGAAGAATAGCTCTGTGGTGTCCATGTGCATGCCAGAAAGCTGATCTTCTGGTTTCCAGTTCACGCATGCGCGCGCGCCAGCTGGTCTTCATGCGTGCATGAGTGCCAGAAACTGGAAGACCAGGTCAAAAGACCAGCTGAGCTTCCAGTTTCCGGTGCTCCCTCATGTATGTGTGCTCCCGTTTCGGCAGTTGGTGCCGAAAAGTTTCACCAACACTGTTATATAACATTATTCCATCCTAAGACTGAATTTTTTTCTGCATAATAATCAGTTAAAGTCAATACGTAATACTAAGCAGAGCAGCTTGACTACATATAGAAGCAACAGACAGATTTGTGTAAAGTTGCATTCTTGATTTTCACTAAATTATCAGCTATACATTAAACAAATTTTGTTTAGTTTAGTCTTTAGTAAAAAAAATATAGGCCTATATATTTCTATTTAGAAACATAACTCATTTGTGTGAGCTTTCTTCCCACTTGAGATACCTAGACATGAAGAAAGATAATCTAGTTTTGCTTACTTGATGTAAGTCTTTTTGGTGTGTGTGTGTGTGTGTTTGTGTGTGTGTATGTGTTAGTAACCTAACTTTCATTATAGATGATATAAAAAAAAAAATGAGCCTACCATCCACCTGTCCTTTCTAATATGAAAATAACTGTCTCCCTAAGGCTGGGTATATTATTTGGAATACTACAGTCTTTAAATGTGATGTAGCTTCCACTCTCAACTTTGACAAGCCTAAAGACTAGCTATCCACACAGTTTTGAATTAAAGTACAGCAAAATGTAAATGTTGTAATTAAATATTGCAAATAATAATAATAATAATAATAACAACAACAACAACTC